CTAAAACCTTTAAAGTGATTTCTCATTATACGTACATACGCGCGCGCGCGTATGTATACAAGATGACTTTCATTCTCTTGATTTATACGTATGTGTGCTTACATGACGTATACAAATGTGTATGTGTAAATTTGTATTTATACACGTATATACATATATGTTTCAAGAAAGCGAGTTTTATACAAGGAAAGATCAATCATGTGATTACACTGATTGCACTTAAATTCAATAACAATAGGATTATAAGATTAAGAAAACTTGAAAGAATGTATAATGAAAATACATGCAAGTTAAAATTAATACTTACAATTAAATTGATGTTAATAAAACTGAATTCCCTCTCGTACTTATGTTATTGAATTTGGACTGTGACCTGGATAGCAACAGTATCCATGCAAATGCATCGTTCACGTTTGAATAAATCATTTTTCCAGATACTTGATTGACGTGACATATAACGAACTCGAAAATACTTCTTAAAGTAATTATCTCATAGGCTAATGAAGAATATAAGCCGGATTTTTGAAAACCACCAAGTAGAGAAAATTAATCAAATTGATTTATATATAAACCTCTGCATGATATATATATATATGATTAAAACTATTTTATCACATATCTAGAAATGTATTGTAAAATGTAAAAAATAAACTCGCATCTAACACAACATTAAATTTTTCAATCCGCATCCAAGAAAATAATGTATTGAAGAAATGGTCGATGGTCATATCAAAATAGATCGTAAGTAATTCTATATATTGAATTGTAGGAATATTAACTAATATTAATTTATAGTGTATCAAAAAATATATTTAATTGAATTATAAACTTTTTCTAATTTAATTGGATATATTAATAGAAGACATTATTACTTATAATCTATAAACAGGAAAAAATAAAGTTACTTCTAAAAGTTTTAGCCAGAAATTTTATCTTTTAAAACTTTCGCCGAAATTTGACGGAAAAAAATCAGTGTTACAGTAGAAAATTTTTAATTTTTCACATTACATCCCTTAGCAAATGAATCTTAAAATTATATTTCTACTATATAATATACTATGCAATATATTGTAAAAGATAATTAAAATGTATTAAGATTATATTTATTGCACATAATCCTTGCCAAGAGAAGGTTGGCCTAGAATTCGAAAAGAATCCTTGCGTAACCCAAGGATAGATTTCGTAATATATATCTTGTACATATATTCATATATTTGTAATATTTATCGTAGAAAGCTAGAACGATGAAACTTCTTCATGAAATAAAGATGGTAAAAATAGGCAAAACAGATATAATATCTCAGAAACATTCAGATAGCTGCATATTCATATGTATTCACATGATACAGCAATCCTGCTGCGAATCTACTCCAGGTGGAAATGGAAGGGTGGGATTGCCCTCGGAATCGAACTGAAAAAACGAGCACTGCTCGCCGACGAGATCATCAGGCGCTTGACCATAATTTTGCATTTCCGTCATAAGTTTCAACACACATTCAAATCGACGTTGCTTGATATCTTCCGCATCATCTTCCTTTTCCTTTTCTAATTCAGTACATACCTTACACAAAATATAAATACATTAATTGTAAAGCTTCAGCTTGGATTTGGTCCATTACAAACATACCTTTCGCATCAATTCTGATTGTTTCGTATACCTCTGCAAATCGGAAGGATTCAGAGTTGCTTTATGCTCTTCTAGCCACACTGGATATTTATCCGACAGTTCTTTCAATGATGGATAAAGAATCTCTTTCGACAAGAGGTGCTCCATCATTCCTTGCATAAACGGTAGTATGTCACCAGTATCACCATCAATAGACGTTTGCCCGAGCATAGCCGCCACATCTGCTTCACTCTAAAATGTATTGCATCTATTTTAACCTCTTGGCTGTTAGGTGAAAAAAATGCTTGTGTTACCAAAAATGCTTTTGACAAAAGAGTTAATAACATTATAAAAAGGTGCTTTCTGGAAGTTTTTGATTCGCTAAATCTAAAGCTGAGGTCAAAATTTTAAAATTTAAAATGGCGGAAAAATTTATAAATTCTTATTCAAGAGGTTAACAATTTGATTTTGTTAGAAAGACTAATAGAAAGTAGCATTACAACCTATTATTACTTCTATAGTTTTTAAAATATGTTAAGGCTCCTGGGCTCTTTATGACATCTTGTGAGATTGTGACGTCAGAGGCAAGAGATAACACCCTATTTTGTCGTGTGTGCCGTTCTCAAATAAAAAGACGTTTTAGTAAAAAATCACTATAGATTGTTTCACAATACTTCTAAAATTGGCCGAAAACTTATCTTTTTCTCCTCGAAAAGCTAGTCATGCGCGCCTGCATCATATTACATTTATTTTATGGCTGTTTGTTTATCGAGAGAAAAGTATAGTTTTCGGCCAATTTTAGAAGTGTTCTGAAACAATCTGTAGTGATTTTTTTTATCGAAATGTCTTTTTATTTGAGAATGGCACACACGACAAAATAGGGTGTCATTTCTCACCTCTGAGTCACAATCTCACAAGATGTTGGAAAGAACTCAGAGCCTTAAATTGCATAAAGTAAATTTGAGTGTAGACAAATGTTATTGTTACAAAGTTAACTATTGTCAGTTATAATTTTACCTTTAAGTATCATTGATACACAGAGTATACCATAAAGATGAGATACCATTACCTGTAAATTTTCGGAATTTGCAGTTAAATCCTTTAAAACTTGTGAAATAGCCGATTGAAAGTCCACATTCATGTCTTTCTCATCTGTCGTATTACTACTAGACGTCTGTCCAAGCTTTTGCAAAGCAGCCTCCAATTCGCTATCTCCTAATAATAATTATAGCAATACACAATTTTTATCGCTTTCTTTGCCCATCTTTTATTATCTCACCGTTTTGCAATAAATTTTGCAAATTTTTTTCAAACTGATTGGCCGTTTGTTTGAGAAAATCTTCCGTCCATTTATCTTCGAATATTTCATGCTTATCTGTTTGTTTCTGCAAATCCGCTGTACCTGTGTCATTGCCTTTTTCAACATTTGATATAGATACTTTGTCGAAATCTTGTAGAGCACCTAAGAGACAGTAAGATTTAAAACTTGAAAAAAAAAAAATATATATATATATATAATAATAAACACTAGATCAATGTTATAAATATATTATATATTAAATTATAATTATAATGTAATTATAAATTATAATATACATAAATTATAATGGGCAAGGTTACACCCTGCATTTAGGCCGCGACCTAAATGCAGGGTGTAACCGTGCCTAATGTAACTAATTATTATATGTTGAAACGTATTACCAAGTTTTAAGATTTCAATAGCTTACAGAATAAATATAATAGCAAATATTACATTTCTTTAATGTCAGAAATATCTAATTTATTTAAAATTACAAAACAATTTATTATATAACAATGAATCACAACTTTTTTTTATTGACAAGAACCAAACTCATGCGACATAGAACTCCGTAAGGTTAGACCAATTTTCTAAATATAGTATACTTACTATCCAATAAATCGTTCAATTCTTGATCTTCTGTCTCGTGTTTTGTCTGTTTGAAATTGTCCGTCATATTCGCGTAATTGTAATATCCTATTAATTTAAAAAACAAAATTCTCTTGCGTGAATGTGCACGAAAACGTTCCTATCATTGACAACGTCCGATGAAGAACGCAACGGCCGCAACGGTATATATTTTTTATATTTACGTGCAGACAAATTTTGATTTAAAACTAAAAAATTAAACAGAGAAATGACAAAAATCGAAAACGCTTAGTAATCGTTCTTTACAAGTTTTTTATAGGATTGCAAGAATGAGTGCTGCTGGTCTACAACCTCGCTTTAGCCTTGTATACACACGATGCTAGAAATCGATCCAAGTCCTCGATTCAAGTTCTCGAATAGTGTACTTTGACGATTCTAGATAGCGTTATAAAGCCTTGTGTCCACGATGCTAGAACTGCGTCCGAGTTTTGGTTTAAGCCAATCAACTTGCAGCTCTTATAGAAAAGCAGCAGTTTCATTGGCTTAAACCGAAACTCGGACCGATTCTAGTATCGTGTACACAAGGCTTAAGGTTATGGAGGATTCACACTGCGTCCGATGTTCGACGTACGACGATCCGACATCCAATAGGAAATTTTTGTCTCTAATAATAAATTCTGTTATTGGATGTCGGATCGTCGTATGTACGTCAAACATCGGACGTGATCGGACGCAATGTGAATCCTCCATAAGGCCCGGTGTCCACGATGCAAGAACTGTGTCCAAGTTTCGGTTTAAGCCAATGAAACTGCTACTTTCCTGTAAGAGCTGCTAGTTGATTGGCTTAAATCGAAACTTGGACACAGTTCTTGCATCGTTGCCTGTATACACGATTCAAGTTCTAGTAACTTTTTCTCGGACCGAGGACTCGGTCCGATTTCTAGTATCGTGTATACAAGGCTTAAGAAAAAACTAGATTGTAGTGCTAAAGGCTTCCGCACGGGAGCGTCCCGCTTGACCACGTTGCGATTGACCACAGCCGACCACAGCCACTCACAGGCTCCGGTGGGACATGCGACGCGAACAAACTGCCAGAAGCCATGAGTGGGATCCAATTGACCGCGTCGCCAATTGGCTGATTTAAAATAAAAATTTCTAATTGACTGGTCCAGTGGGAAAACTCCAAGCATCGGGGCTATGAGTATGGTCAATGGCCGCGTTCAGGGAGTCGATTGTGTATCTTGAAATTAGGTAAAAATTACAAAAATGAGGAAATTTACTAGCGTATCTACGATTTTATTTGTGGAAATCTAGTAAAATCTGTTCACTTTTGTAATTTTCACCTCGTTTCAAGATACACAATCGACTCCCAGCAGACACAACTGTTGAGTTTGTTTTATCAACACTCTACGTTGATTGGTTGGTTCTAAAAGTAAGAGCCAATGGCCGCGTTCAGCATATGTACACAACTGTTGAGTGTCGTTTTATCAACACGTTACGTTGATTTGTTGGGTCTAAAAGTAAGAGCCAATCACGTTCGATTGCTACTGAGCGGTTTGTTCTGCTGAATGCGCCCAATCACGTTCGACTGTTACTGAGCGGCTTGGTCTGCTGAACGCGCCCAATCGCAACGTGGTCCAAACGGGATGGCTTCCACTTCCACTTCCTGCTGCTGCTGATGGCGCTGAACATACATTCATTTCGTTTCAAAATATGTGAGCGACTCGTGGTTATCAAGTTCAGTTGGGAGTCCCCGATTAATCTATTTATTTATAAAACAGTGTAATGTGCAAGCTGCAAGAGACAGCAAGAGAATAAAAAATGCATATCATGTAAGATTATGGATGTTACGTTATAACCTATTAGCATTTTTATAACCTCAGATAACTCACGTGAATGTAAGTATCCTGTATATTTATTTCGTATCGTACAATACCTGCTATATGTGGGTAAACAAAACGTATAAAAAAGAAAAGTATTTACTTGGAGAAATTTTTCATATTTTGATGTGAAATTTCTGACCACTTACAATTCTGTTATAAATATTTATGCAGAATTGAAAAACATTTGAATATTCTTTTTTGTTTCTGTACATACATATAAAATTGTTTTTAGGTCCAATTTGACGCTTTTATCTTACTTGGCAATTTTAACAAATATTTACTTTCATCATGCAGAAGAGAAAGGAACGCGAAGATTTTATGTAAGAAAAGTTATAATTTATATTATGATATTAAGATATATACAAACAATTTTAACCCTCAAACATCTCACTTTCTGGACCATCTCTCAAGCCCAGGTCTACAACAGGAGTTTTAAGACCTAAGCCTAAGAAATTGATCAATTACTTTCAAATTTGAGGAGAGTAATCGACTGTGAATGGTCGATTTATTAAGGTTTAGGACTTGGGGCCCAGTTCCACAAACGTTGGTTAACTTTTAAACTTAGGTTAACTTACTCTTTGTCTCTTTCTAACGTCCCACTTAGAAAGAGACGAAGAGTGAATCAACCTAAGGGTTAAAAGTTAACCGACATTTGTGAAACTACGTTTTAAAACACCTATTGTAGACCTGGATTAACCTGGACTAACACCGCACATGGGTTAGCAAGACTCACATGTGTGTTTGAGGGTCAATTAACTGATTGATAACTTTTCAATATTATATTATGAAACATAGCTTTTAAATGAAACAGAATATACAAACAATTTGTTAATAATATTTCATGTAATAAATTAATACTGCGCACATTTATGCAAAAGTGTTTACTTTTATATTAAGCTAGTTATTTATTAAATCATTAGTTATCATTAAATTTTATTAAATTTTAGGTCTATTACGGCACCTGCATTAATGCCAAGGCTTACGTTGCCATCTATTATTATCCCATCTCAGTTACATAGTGCATTAAAAAGTATATATTGTCCAAAATGGGGCTCTATTTCTTCTTCAAATCTACATAACAATTATAAAAAGTGCATTAAAAGTTTGTCTAATGTACGAACAATAATTCAGCGGGATTATTTAACCATATTGAAAATATGCTTATATCTAATACAATTTGAAGAAGATCTCGAACTAAAACGGTTTAGATTGTTAAACCATACAGTTAAGACGTCTGATTTAGAAAATTGTTTTATTATCAGCTTGAAATCTTTGAATGGTGATCTTCATGTAATTAAACCAGACTGTGAAGTAGATCTCAGAGATAATACAAAAAAAGTAATTTTTGCAAAAATCGTGAAAGTGGTAGGAAATGATGTAACAATAAAGCCCTATTATCCTGAGTAAGTTTGCTACAATTTTATTTTAATAATGCTTTAATATTTTTTTTATACTTTAACAGACATATATATATATATATATATACATGTATATATATATATATATATACATGTATATGTGCATCCTTATAAAGTATCATAAGTGTAAAGTATCTTGGTATAAAGTATCTTAATTTCTTTTTTTCTTTTATATTTTTTACTTGTATTGCCATTCTGCAAGAACGCAGTATCACAACATATTATTGAGTCATTTTGGATTTGGTTTGAATACTTGATTCCAATATGTGAACTAATATCTTTATTTAGAATTTTTTATATATGAAATGGCAAGATATGAAAGTTAAACTGAGTCTTTTGTTTAACACATAACTACTTTACCATTAAGCTATTCAGCGTCTACCCCACATATTTTAACATTTGTGTAAAAAATATATTTAGTCTTTATAGTAATGTAATATAATAGTGTAATTGAAGGGTACACAGGAGAAAAACGCAATTTTACATTTCAAGACTTAGGTATCTTAAGAGGCTATTAAAAAAAGTACTGGCAGTGAATATGCATAGTGTTTACATTGTATGTTGGGCTTTGTTGGATCTTCCTCACAAGCGCGTCGGATTATGATCGTTTTTCCCCAGCACATCTTTCGGCCTTATTTTGTAAATGAATTGTAACTTCTTGATGAAAACAGATAAGATTTATAAAAAGTTTTTGAAAATGTCACAAGATAAGCATGATCAGATCAATTTTAACAAAAAGTGGACTTTGATCATCATTTTTTCTCTGTACCCTTCATTTATGATAGAAACAGAGACATATTCGGTCTTTGAGCCTAACATATATAATATATAACATAAATAATATAATAATTTTATATATCATTTAGAAATCCAAATACATTGAAAATGAAGGGGAAAAGATTTAATATAGAGTTTGTGGACCGACATTGGTCATTGAGATGCTGTCATTATGCATTAAAAATAGTTAGCAAATGCAATTGGATTGAGATTGTATATCCACGATTGAGGACAAATTGCACAGATATGGAAATGTAAGTTTTAAAATCGAATATTTTATTATTTGGAATCATATCGTCATCATGACTCGTAACATATGTGTTATATAGCGATATTGAATGGATAAATGCTGATTTGAAGGAAAATGAACCACAGAAGCAAGCAGTGAGGAAGATACTGAATAAGACAGCATACCCTGCACCTTATATAATTTTTGGTCCCCCTGGTACTGGAAAAACAGTGACATTAGTTGAAACTATATGTCAGGTAATTTCTTTGTTAGATCTAATACATTGAGCTAAGTTATTTTTTAAATTTTATATTTTTTCTGGTTTTTTTTTTTTTTTTTTTTTTTAAATTTAATTCTTTGGTTGATAGATTGTGAGACACTTTCCGACGAAAAATATATTGGTGTGCACATCATCTAATGCAGCAGCTGATGAAATCACGAAAAGATTGATAAAATATATTCCAACAAATTTGATATATCGAATGTATGCTCCATCTAGAGAATGGTAAAAAATTTATTTTTGTTGCAGTTTTTTCTCGTTTCTTCCTTTTTTTTTACAAATACCGTAATTAACATTGCACAAGTACAAGTTTGTCTTTAAATTTGATTTTTATTTGTAATGATCACACAATTTCGCTTACGGCATAAATTTTATGAAGGGTGACAAAACTCACAATATAAATATACGAATTAAATTTTGTCTGTTGAAAAACAGGTCGACTGTGAAGAATGAAATTCAACCATGTGCGAATTTTGTTCAAGAATCTACTCTCTTTTTGTCAAAAGAGTTACTGTTACGGAAAAAAATTATTATTACAACATTAGTATCATCTGTAAGGTATGTATTTGACATGTTATTCTATTTTCTTTTGTGTGTGTATATGTTATTTTAGATATGTATTGTAGTAAAAAAATTTTCACTTTTAATAGTTATAAAAATTTCTATCTGATTAAATAAAATTAATTATATATATGTAATTCTTTATATGAACCTTGTGTTTAGATATAGAGATACTTCTTAATTAAATTGATATTGTTAAATTCAATTTCTAGAAGATATTTGACATATCATGTATTGTTTATTACAGATTGATTGATGTAAATTTTCGGGAAAATCATTTTTCTTACATAATTATTGATGAGGCGAGTCAAGCGGTTGAACCAGAGATGTTGATTCCTCTCGCGATAACAAATAAAGAATCTGATGAGAAGACTAGATTTCATGCACAAATTGTTATCGCAGGTGATCCTTATCAATTGGGACCCGTTGTTTGTTGCAAAAGGATTGAGCATCTTTTCGGCAAGTTTTTTCAAAATGCACTAAATTGTCGTGTAATCTGTATATTTTTTAACTATTTAATTTATTACCCTAACAGGAAGATCCATGTTAGAAAGATTAATGGACGATTGTGATCCGTATAAAAAGCAGGATGGAAAATATAATCCGAACTATATAACGAAATTAGTTCAAAATTTCCGTAGTCACGAAAATATTTTACACGTGTCCAATAAACAATTTTATTGTGGTGACTTAAAGATCTGTGGAGGAGCCGATATACGAATGGCGTTGAACTGGTCACAATTGCCTAATAAAAAGTTTCCTATGATATTCCAAGAAGTTTTAGGCACAGAAACAAGATCTGTAAACCGAAGGTTAATATATTTAAGTATATGCAAACTTTGTTACAATTGTCTTAAAACAGGATCAAATTTTTATATAATTAATTTATCTGCAAAATTGCATAAACATAAGCGTGATACATTTGCAGTGTCTGCAACACCGCCGAAGTACTGGCGGTACTAATGTATGTGAGTATCCTGATTAAGGCGAAATTTGGAAAACACGTGATAACACCAAAGGATATCGGGATCGTAACGCCTTTTAAACAACAGCAACTAGACATTACTCATCATCTAGAAGCTATGAAGTTAAAAGGCATAACTGTGGGAACAGTTGAAACGTTTCAGGGACAAGAACGAAATGTGATGATATTATCCACGGTACGATCTAAAGCCTTCGAACACAATGGTAAAGAACACATTGGTTTCTTATCCAATCCAAAGGTATGTTATTCATTACATGTACTATGAACCTAGGATCCGTTAACTGTGAGTTAATTACTCTCACATAGAATCACCTTAGCATCACCTCGAATTATATGTATATTTTTTTTTTATCATCATCATCCATCATGGGGGGGGGGGGCGATACACATAGCAGTTGCCAGTTGCCATGTGCGGACCAACAGTTTAACGTCTCTTCCGAAAGACGGAGCTCAGTTTCTCCGCACGAGAGTCCCCTTTTATTTCCCGTACGGGGAGTGCAGTTTAAAGTCTTAAAATTTTTGTAATCAAAGTGGAATCGAACCCGGGTCCTCGTAGTAACGAGTCTGATGCTCTACCATTAGACCACACTGCCACCCATACGTATATATATACATATATGTACATATATTATTAATTATTTATAATTCGGGGTGATGTGTGCGCGTGTGTGCAGCGCGTATGTATGTATATATGTAAAATTATATGTAATTTTTTTTTCCAGAGATTTAATGTTGCTTTAACACGTGCAAAAGCACTTATGATAATAATAGGAAATCCAAATATACTCTGCAGAAATGAACATTGGGAAGTACTTTGGAAGTACTGCGAAAAACATAACGCAAATATTCCCTTTGAACAGTTGCCAGGGCTCAAGGATCGCAAGAGTTCGTCCTTCCAGGCGATCAAGAAGTACATCGTGTCGACCTACAAGGTAGACGGCGAGAAGGTCGCGCCGTTCATCAAGCATTACCTGAAGACCGCCGTGTCCGCCGGTGCCGTCGTGCAGACCAAGCGCAAGGGCGCCACCGGCTCGTTCAAGCTGTCGACCGACAAGCCGAAGGACAAAGCCAAGGGGAAGGCGCAACGCGCCTCGCTGGTTCACTCGGACACGTGGAAAGCGGGAACCAAGAAGGACGGGCGGGAGAAGACCGCGATTGCGCGGAAACCGGCGGCCGCTGTGAAGAAAACGACCGCCAAAAAGGCCCTGGAAAGCCCGAAGAAGGCAACTCCCAAGACCGCCGCCGCCAAAACCGCCGTGAAGAAGGGCAAAGCTGCTGCGGAGCCCAAGTCACCATCGAAGGCTAAGAAAGCCGTCAAGGCACCAGCGGCGAAGACCAAAACGCCCAAGCCGAAGAAAGCCACAGCGAAGGCCGTGAAGGCCGCGGCGAAAAAATAATTGGCGTGCGAAGAATATACTCGCTACAATCATAACAAAATAACCTTTGTCAGATTTGTTCACCGAGCCATTCTTCTTGTCCTTAATTTCCAGGAGTTCAGGTACTTTTCCTCTTCCTTTCGTGAATCGACTGAATTATTGAATTCCAGAGACTTCCAATCCTCCGAAAAGTACGACACTCCGGGCGGACCGACGTGCTGGATCTTGGTTTTGATCCTCGCTAAACGCGAAAACCGCGTCCGAGATCTCTATAATCTTATTTATTTATTGAACTATATCTGTTTTATCCTTTATGTAAAATTCTTCTTTAAGCTATCTTCTAGTCATCGTTATGTATACGTTTCTAGCATGTATTATCACTCAACAACTTTATATCATGAATTTTATTGTTACAATATTTTACAGCATATAAAGGAAAAAAGATTTTTGCTGTCGCTTCTTCGCAACATGTGAAGAATCACATTCGAATATACATTGTCAGACTTATAACAAAATTATTGTTTGCTGTGATAATTATTTGCCACTCTTATCATTTTTGTCAAGTAATTCAAATTAAATAAGTCAAAATATTATAACATTTACCTTTGTCAGCTACAAATGTTAAACGGAGAACACACACTTTTGCATAACGCATAATACGTAAGCATAAGAAAACTGATTGGTCTATTTCCTTATGCACATGTGTATGGACCAATCAATTTTCTTATGCTTACGCATTATGCCCATATCACACTAGCGGCTCGCGGCCGCGACTGCGATTGCGATTTCGTCTCTTGACCAAATGAGAAATGTCCGAATTGCCAGCAGCTTCTTTCTCATTGGTCAAGGGACGAAATCGCAACCGCAGTCGCGGCCGTGAGCCGCTAGTCTGATTTGGGCTTTATGCGTTATGCAGAAATGTGTGCTCCCCGCTTTAAGGCCATCGTACACAAAATGCATAGCTTAACATAAAGCCCCTTGCACAATGCCAGGCAACAGGCAATAGGAACAGGAAATAACCAAAAAATCGTTAATTACAACCTAAAAAATTCAAATGCTATGATTGGTTGGCAATAGGCAATAGGCACAGAATTTCCAACGTGACGGAAACTCTGTGTCTATTGCCTGTGTCACTGTTTATTCTGCATTTATACATGATTTCTGATTTCTATTCCCTGTTCCTATTGCCTGTTGCTTGGCATTGTGCAAGGGGCTTAAAGGTGCCAATTCATGGGACGCTGAAAAACAGCGTTGAGCGACGTCACGTGACATCACTATGATGCCAGCGTCAAGAAAGAGAAGTTGGATTTTTCCAACTTCAAGCGTCAAAGCCAAAGCAGCGCGAAAACGCCGAAATTTTGACGCTGTTTTCCTTTTCATGAATTTCAATTGACGCCGGCGTCAATTGTGGTCATGCGACCTTCTTGCCGCTGAAAATGAGCGTCGAGCGTCAGCATGAAAAGGCACCTTAAGCGTAGCATAAGATCGCTAAACCAATGAGCATCTAGCATAAAGTCGCCATATTAATTTACATACGATGCTCATTGGTCCAGCGGTCTTATGCTATGCATATGCAGCCTATGTAATTTTTGTGTGCGATGGCCTTTAGTGTCGCTACATCTCTGTTTTCTCCCCTACCTATCCCAACACGACCTCCGCATTGTGAGCTTAAGTCTAGGGCCGGTATTCATAGTTATTTAAGGCTGTCTTAAGTTCAATCTTAAGATATGTCATGAACCAATCACAGAGCCGTATTGGCGTCTTAAGACATTACTTAAGACAGACGATCTTGAAGATTATGAATACCGGCATTTAGGGCCAATTTCACCAACCACAGTTAGCTTAACCGACGGTTAAAGTTAGCAGGATTGACCAATAGAAATGAATCCACCCTGCTTTCTATTGGTCAATCCTGTTAACTTTAACCGTCGGTTAAGCTAACTGTGGTTGGTGAAATTGGCCCTTACACAGCTATAGCAGCTATAAGCTACTCTCAGTTAACAAAACATTCAATGGTAAAAGCTGGCCATATTGTCCTCGGAATAGAGGCAGGAGCCAATTGGGCGCGTTCAGCAAAACAAACCGCTCAGTAGCAATCGAACGTGATTGGCTCTTACTTTTAGAACCAACCAATCAACGCAGATTGTTGATAAGACGAGACTCAACAGTTGTGTCTGCTGAACGCGCCCATAATGGCTGCGTTTAGCCGAACCTCTGCTTAGCGAAGTGAAAGGTAGCAACTGAATGTGATTAGTTGGATCCAAAGGTAAGAACCAATCACATTCAGTTGCTACCTTTCGCTTCGCTAACAGAGGTTCGGCTCTGGGGCCCTATTCTTGAATCGTTTTCATGAAACTCGCATGCGAATTAATTCAATGCTTTTCAAATAGAAAGTCGCATACGAAAATCATTAGGGCAGGCTCGAGAATACGGTCCCTGGAACGCAGCCAATTAAACAAAAGAAGAATAAGAAGAACTAGAAGAAGTCGCTACATCTCGTCGGTAGTCGGTATGACGGGAATCATAACCTGATTCCTGTCAACTTTAACGTTTAATATCTCGCGTCGCGGGGCAGAGCGACACTTTTTTCTGCCAACGTCTTGCGTTTCGTGTAAAAACGCCGTCGATTGAGCATAATTTCATCGATATTGAAGGTGAGGCCCCTAAAGGCCATTGCACGTAACAAAGATTTAGCCATAATGGTAAGGCCGTAAGAAAATAAACCAATCACAGTCGATTATTCTCCTTGCGCTCGAAAAATAATCGAGTGTGATTGATCTATTTTCTTATGGCCTTACGATTACGACTAAAACTTTGTATGGCTTTAAACTGTATAATTACCAAAATGTTTTTAAGTGACAAACGACGACTTTTCCTTTTTACATCTTCGTTTTTGTCACAAAAAAGTATCAAAAGAGTATATTTTTGTTTAAACACTGGCTAATGTTTAGTATTTTTTTTGTACATACATATATTTTTGCTCTTTGATTTTAGATAAAACTTATTCATATGGATAATAATGGATCAAATATATAAGCTTTACGATCGACAGGCATCGCCAAAAATTTGCATAAAGGATTACTTTCAACAATATAGCGAACTACTCAAGTCATTGATGTGTCACGAAGTTAGCAAACAAAGCGAGGAAAAGATTTTTCAACTTATGGATACCGACCTCTCACAAGCAAGAATTCTTTTAATGAAACAATATTGCAGGTACCTTATATTACAGTACGTAATAAATAATATTGTATTTTCTGATGAAAATTAAAAAATTAAGTATAGACTCACACACACATATATCGGTGTCAATTTTTCAGCATAGATAATTTAACGTTGCCAATGGAGGCTGCCAATGCGGAGGAAAAGGAGAAACAAGGATATGTTCAAATGCCTGAAACAATCTCAGATAATGTTCCATTGGAAACAATTAAAGTGTTAAAGATCTTATCTAAGGAAACTTTACAAAAATCAAAACATCAAAATGGCATTCCTGTTGTAAGTAGTTGCTTTCAAGAAAAATATATTAAGTTATACAGAGTATTGAAAAGCTTTACTAAAATTGAATTGAATTATTATAATTGTTATAGGACCAATAATTTTATAGTCACTGTATTACTTAATGTAATATAATGCTGTGACAAATCTATAACATTAAAATAATAAATTTGTTTCTTTCTAGAAACATGACAAATTAAAATCATCTGATAACTCCGTAAAGCCAAGTGAGGAATTTTTAGTTTATGTCAGGGTATATGAACCATTTAAAAGCCACTCTCGTCTTAAGTATAAAATAAGTGTCCCAGTTCTCAAACTTAAAAGCGTTATATCAATATTGGGATGCCAGACTCTTTATGAATTACGACAGAAGATAATATGTCAATCTGATTTGTCGATTATAAAGGAAATTAGTGAAAAACCGAATCAAAGACCCGGACCTATGGCAAAGGTAACTGTTTCTTCAATTTGGAGCTTTATCTATTTTATAACCTGGTCCATGTGTTCGTCGTATGTAAAAAAAAAAGAGAAAATTAATTGCATTTTGTATATTATAGGATGTCTATCCCTCAGGATTCTTCTATATTGAAGATACATTTTATAACGATACTAGTGTGCCAACAAACATTGATTACAGTAACATCATATTGGAATGGGCAACGATTCGTGATATAGGTCCATTTAAAGTTGCAACTATGGACGCCCAGATAAATTCTCTTTATGCAAGATTTGGTTTTCCATGGGTGTACCAGCATCAGGGTTCCTGCGAACACTTGATTGTACTAACTGATGCCAGGTAACTCTTATTAACACTAATGTAATGGAAGTATCTAGTTTAAAGCGTTCATAATAAAATTTCTTTTATAATACTGGCAAAAATAACAAAACCATGATAAAAAAGTAAAAGTTATGCTGATAGAGCTGTGATATTTGTATTATTGGTAACAAATCATTTTATTTAACATTTGTTATTAACGAATTAATTCATTTTGTTCATTCATTCACAGATTGGTAACTGATGACGATGTATTAATATCATCTGCTTATCCAAGAATAGAAAGAATAAGACCTATTTCTGGAAAACACTGCATCTATTGCGGAATATTTAACGTGCATTGGGTTGTAACGGAACACGATAGAATACCACATGACATAAGTTATTTTTGTAATAAATGTTTTATATCTTATAATTACGTTGACGGTAAAAAAGTCGGAAATTTTAAAGCATACAGTTATCCTTGTATATCGGAATTAATGACGATAATAAGACCTAGTAAACTAAGATAAGACCTAAAAATAGAAACAAGACCTAGAAAATATTGCATATATGTATACGGGAGTTGTATGTGTTATAAATATATTTAGGATACAAGTGTAACAAAATTATTTTATTGATGCCTTTAATGCATACAATTTTTGCAAGTTTTCTCTTGCACTATGCAAATCTGGCTTTAATTGCAATGCTTTCTTATACATCTCCTCTGCCGCATTTAATTTATTCCAACGATGATATAAGACACCTAAATAAGATATTTCTGATTTTATATATTATCTTAAATTATTCATATACATATGTATACACATTTACATAAATATGGAATGTTTTATGCCAAATCCAACCATATTTTTTCTCAATATCAGCAAATTTAATAAACTTGAAGTCTTTTTAAAAAAGCCGAGTTTTGTGAGAAAGTTTGCTTATTCAAGAAAATATACGTTAATCTAAAAAAATGCTTCTTGAACTTTCTCGATATGCATGTAAACATAAAAATTTGGTTTTTCAAGTAAAAGTTGTGACTGGTATTTTCAGCTATTGCAATCCTAAACTGGTCGATGAGATAATAGATTTAGCAACCAACACATATAGGAATTTGATATAATGAGTAATAGCTTATATATCATGAATCGAATACTCTTAGTATTCGTTGATACAAGTTGTATCGTATCAAATTCCTGCGTTCTCAAACTTGTATTCTTCAACATCAGTGGGAAGAGAAGGTTGGTATGAAATATCGCTGATGCATTTCTCAATATACCTAAGTTTGCATAGATCATAGGAACCATAGGATCTATCGATATTGCCCGTTTGAATTGGATTTCTGCGTCTTCGTATTTTCCCTTTTTTCCCAAAATATTAGCAATATTGAAATAGATAGAAGCATGATTCGGAATAAATTTTAAAGCTTTATTTGCCACTTTCAATGCCTCTTCTGTCCTATCTAAAATTATAGAGAGTATCTCTTAAAATATATTTTTTAATATTATAGTAACTGATGTACAGTAACAGAAAGATACAGTATTAATTTAAATAAGCACAAACCTAAATCATCTAATAGTAGTATCATATTCGTCCATGCTCGTTTATGCGTGGATTTTTGCTTAGTCGTATTTATCCAAGCTTTCAACGCCTTGTCATATTGTTTTCGTTCTAGATACTATCGCCATCAATTTTGAATTAGTAAATTATAATAAGATATTCTCAAAAATAGATTAAAAAATTATATTTTACCATTATGTAGTACTCACCAATACGCCTAGATTGTAATAACAATCTGGATAATTTGATCGGTATTGCAGAGCCATGAAATAACTTGCTTCTGATTCCTCATACCTTTTCAATGCTGACTGAACTATACCTCGATTCATCCACGCCGTAGAAAAATCCTTTCTAAAATTCATGAGTTTGTGTGAGAGGTACCATATACATATCTATTCTATAATATGTCATAAACAGAAAGAAAAAAAGAGATTATATGCATATACATATAGATTTTAATTTCTCATTGTAGTTGAAATAAATAAGACATTTATAAGTAGAACTGTTCATCTTAGATAATGATATTTAACCGGACTTACTGTAAATTAACAGCTTGCTCGAACAAATTTACAGCTTCCAAAAGCTGCCCATCGTCTTTAAGTAAATTGCCAAGATTATTCAGAGCTTGAGCATATTTTGGATTTAATCTGTGTAGCAAAGAACATAAATGTATAACACAATAAAATTTCTTAGAAGAAAATTGAGATCTTGTAGGTATACTGTATGCAATACCGTAAAGCCTCTCTATATTCTAGTTTGGCGAGATCAACATTTCCTGCGTCTGCAGCATTTTTCGCGATATTATAATGTACTTTTGCGTTCAAAGGGCATACATTTAATGCTGATTGAAAAAGCAGTCTCTCATTTCTCCATTGGCTACTCCTTATCCAAGAACGCACGAACAGTAATACAATAAGCATTACGTATGCCAGCAACGACATCTTAGGCAAGGAAAATCGGGCAGAAAGTTTCTGCAAACCGATAATGACTAGCAAACAATATCCCGCCGAAGGAATATACAATACTCTCTCTGCCAAAACAAATCCGACGTTGAAGAAAATATTACTTGCTGGCAGAAATGGACAGATCAACACTGTAAGACCCATAATTATATATCTGCAAAAGTTTATATACATATATATATATATATGGAAAATGTTCTCAACATACATATCTTTTCTGATTTTTAAGATTACCTTAAAGTCTTGTCCTTATGACAGATAAACGTATACACAATAAATGCTCCAAACATGAGCCAGAAAATAATGACTACAAAAGTTCTGTAGTCATAGCCAGTAATCAGAGATATGCAGCCCATTGACCAATCAAAACAGAGCCATATGGGACATATAAGTAACCATATATTCAGGCAATAGATATAGTTATAATTGAGTATACGAAGCAATACGTTATCCATAAAAGACGCTGGATTATCTACTGATTGAAATTTTGGGGTGGAGAACCCCATAATACTGAACCTTAGAAGCAAAAGTATTATAGCAATGAGAACGAGTGCAGCGAGTCGTAATAAAAAATTTCTAAGATTAATAAAATTATTTAAACTTTTATCAGCATATTTAAATGTGAGAGAATTAATTATGTCAATCGGATATATCTTGTTCACGATAACTATGTCGTATATTGCACAAATACCCTAAAAAATAAAGACAAAAATCCTTTATAGTTACGTAAAAAAAAAATCAAGTTTAGCGGCGCAATTTTGATACTCACAATGGCAGTGATCCCAGTTTCTTTACATAGCATCGCTGCGGTTATGCAAATAGCAAAACTGAACATGGCAGCACATGCCTGTAATATATTCTTTGCATATATTGTATGGCTGTACAACAAGATTGATAGCCACGTAAACAAGCTACATAATAATTCAGCGCGTCCAACAATTCCAGATACCTGATATACAAAGGTATAAACATAATTGTAATATATTCGGATATTAGTATATAATAATATTATACTCATAATTACAGCCTCTGTATGAATTGGATGAACTGCAAATAGGGCTGCGGCATAAAATGAAGTGCTCCGTTCTTCCGGCCCCAAAAATATATTGTATACGGACAGAATCAACAGGCAAATTGTACTGTGCAATATTATGTTTACTATATGATAGTCTTGCGAAACCAAGCCTTGTCGTAACCAGAATTGTAATCTATAGGGATAAACAAAAAAGAAAATTGATTTGTACACAACTTTTTAGCAAGATATTGTTACATGTATCTGTGCATGTATGATGCACTTGATATTCTTTTACCTGAAACTAAGGATGGTGAAAGGTCTGTATGATTTGTGGCTTTGCCTATGGGATAATTTGGTACCCCAAAAGTCATTTTGAAATATATCCCAGAACGGTGTGTCGCGTACATCGTTGTTATTGACGATAGCCTCGTTATCATCAAAAACAAAATCTCCGTCATAACTGTTAACAAAACACAGTGACAAAATCACGATTATCCAAGGAGAAAGCGATGACGGTACGGCTGAAAATTTATAAAATTTTTCATTAAAAAAATGTTTGCTCTCGTGCGTGTAATATCCATGTAATTCATGTGTATTAAATGGTGATTCACCTGGCAAATGAGTCGATATTTTATTTTTCATGATATATCCTAAAGTCCTAAACAAAAAACAAATTATTGCCTCTTGTTTATACCACAGTCCCTACAGTCTATCTTATGTATGTTTATGTCCATTGTATACATACTATACTATACATCATACATAACATATGTATGTATGTATGTATTTACATACACATAAAAATGGTTAGGCACTGATGTGCACTATTGGACGCGTTTCGGAACGCAGGTCGCAGGCTGCTCGTGGAGCGATTGGTTCTTACCTATGGATCTAACTAGAGTCCAAATTTCCTCCAACCTATGGGCCAATGGGTTT